ACTAGTAGGTCAGGTTATAATTTTTTATTTATTTATTTATAACATTATGAGCTATTAAGCTCATCATCTCGTTCGCTCTCTGTCTTGCTTTCATTCGGCAAGTCACAAACGATATATGATACTCGTATGTTCCTACTTCAACTCTCGAGAATCTGAAACAAACGAAACTCGTGTCCAATATACAGGGTGTCCGGTAACTAACAGACCAATGATTACAAATGGATTCTTTGGTCAATTTGGGAACGATTTTTCCTCAGCGAAAATGTCGAAAAAGGTCATCATTTTTTACAACTTTCCAATCTTTGTCATTATGTATCTTTATAACTAAGCCTTAAATTAAAATTTTATTATAGTAAACTCTACCTGAAATTAACTGAAGAATGTAATTATGTTAGACTTTTAACTCCAAAACGTTTAGTTTTCAAAAAACCTATTTTTTTCAATCGCTTATAACTCGAAAATTATTGACTTCTCAACATTTTTGCTAAGGAAAAATCGTCTCCAAATTGGCCAGAGAATCCGCCCTTAATCATTGGTCCGTTAGTTACCGGACACCTTGTATATATTATATAAAAGTGTATAGCACGTCAGAAGCTTGTGAGCTTACAGCGATAAGTAAAAACAATTGCGTATTTATTTCATTGCGTTTATCTGTTTAAACGCGCGCTTTAATTTTTCCAACGTTTTTGCCTGTTTATATTTTAAAGGTCCTCTCTTCTAAAAATCTTGTTTTAAAGATCCTCTCCGCGAGCAAAATTCGAAAACATAAATTATTTAATATTTTTACTTTATTATTTGTAAATCCTCGGTAATTTCAAAATTTTTCTATTTGAAAATTATTAATTTTCTATTGCCAATTAATTTTATCACAGACTTTACTCTTACTCCCATTGCACTTTCGTTTGCGGTTTTCAGTATACGATTTTTTATCGTAGTTACTGAAAATTATTATTGTGAATTATACTTGTGCAGTGATTTGAAGAATTTACAATTTCGTTGAAATTGTTGATTTTTCAAAAAAATTACGAGATTCGCGGAAATTGCGTGCTTTCTTGGCATTTTCCGTTCGCGGCAGGCGGTTTATTTTTGATTGTTGCAAGTGTTTTTGTTTTTTTTTTTATTAAAATAGATAATAATAATGTGAAATAAATCACGATATTTGACAGATGTGCATATATATAGAAATTGTAATAATAATAATATTATATCATAAAATTGTAAATTGTTTCAATTTTTTATAGACTGCGATAAAAGATTTTACATTTGGATAAGAAACTGCGGTAAGTAAAAATATAAAATTCTTGAAAACGTAAAAATATTTGATAACGTAAAAAGGTGAACTTTGAAAAATAAGGAACTTAAAAATTGCACTAATAAATGGGCTATATATATGTGAGCCGTGCGCGGATGTAAGGTGTGTTATATCGAAATTTAATTAATAGAATTGAGAATTAATCCCAATTTTAAGTCTTACAAATGTCCAAGCTAATTTTTTGTACCTCGTGTACATTTTTGAAAGTTATATCGAAAAATTAAATTTCAATATGCGTCTTACATCTCACATTTCGCATACGGCTCACATATAGCCTATTTATCTCTTATACTTTATTTCAACCCTTATAGAAATTTATTACTAGTAACGCCAATTTATCACTTATTTCGAGTAATTAATCACTTTTATTTCGAATACTTAAATTACTGTATATTATAGTATTTTAAATACTCAAAATAAGTGATTAATTGGCGTAGTGATAAATTTCTACAAGAGAATAAGGAGCCTTTAAATTCTTAATGTAAAAAATTTCAAGTAATTTTCTTTAATAAAATTTAATTAAAAAATTTAATAAAAAATTTTTGAACACTGTGTTATATCACATTTAAAATCGTGATTATTTCAATAAAAAAACATTTTATGTGTAAAAAATATATTTTTTATATTTAATAAATTTTATATATATATGCATATATGTAAAATATTCTCTCTCTCTCTCTCTCTCTCTCTCACACACACACACACACACACACACACACACACACACACACACGGGGGCCAAATCTCTCAAATTGGTCTCATGATCAATTAGCCTGGATTCGCACCAGGGGCAAAGTCTGTTGGTAATGTCAAACGAATTTAGCCTGGACTTGCACCAGGGGCAAAGTCTTTTGGTCGAGTCTACGAAATTTAGCACGGACTCGAACCAGGGGCAAAGTCTTTTGGTTCAAGTCTACGAATTTAGCACGGACTCGAACCAGGGGCAAAGTGTGTCGGTAAGGGGCAAAGTCTATCGCACGAAGATGGCGGTCTCTTCTTTAGGCAGGCCTTTGGCGATCTGTCTATTAATCTGTGACACTAGTCAAGTGCGCATTGGCACTACCAATCGAACACGCGCCTGACATTCAGTGCAGCCAGTGCACCCCAATCGAAAACGCTATTAGAGTGAGACAAAATATACTTCTCTCATTCTAACTTATTGCACCAGTGTGCACTAGTTCATTAGTGCAGAAAACAAGCCTAAAATTATTAATTTGTAGTACATCGAAAGCTGTATATATATATAGTTTCTCTTTTTAAATTTAAGTTAAAGTATTCCTTTTATAGTATTTGTTCACGCACAATTGTTTGAATAATCATGAATGAACATTTTGTTGATGACAAATGGATCTTATTTATTATATATATAGTACACATAAGAATTGTTGACTAAGCGGAGAATCAAGCACCTCTCTTCCTTTACTTTATTACAGCCTTATGCGTGTGAAAAAAATAGAACTAAAATATTGTTTACATTGTTTCCTTTTAGGTTATGTTTTGGCCTGATGATTTTGCTTTAATTGACATTTATTACTATTGTAGAATTGTGTAATATATAACTACTTCATTATATATAGTTAAAAGTTAAAAAAGAGTAAAAATGTTATAATAATTTTTAACTTAGCTTAGTTAAAATGTAATTTAAAATGTATTAGGTTTTAACTTCAACTAGTTATTTTTGACCTTACTTATTAATTTTTTTTCTAAGTTAAATTTATTGTTTATCTCTAAATACCATTATTGTTTTTTTTTATAAACATATATTACTTTTAAATTAAAGTATTGATTTTTATGTTCATTTGTCATCAATTGTAATTACCAAAAAATATATTTCTATATAAAAATCCAAATTTTTTTGTTATATTTATTATTATACATTTCAAAAGAATTAACAAACAAAATTCTAATTTAATATAAATAATGTTTTTAAAAATTAACTTTTATTTAACTTCAGGTAATTCAATCTTAACTTAACTTTAACTGAATTAATTTTTTGTTTATGCATCTTTTAATTCAACTAAATTAATTTTATAAGCAACTAATTTTAACTCTTTTAACTCAGTTTAAAAAATCATTAACTTACTCAACCTTGTTTCTATGATATATAATTTATGTTTTGAGCACACTTTATTGAGCTTTTCAATGAAAAATTATAATTTCACCAAAATTGGCGTACTAACATTTACGTTTAACTTTTGCATCTATATTATTTATATTTAATATATATTACACATTTAAGAGCCTTTTAGTAAAACATTAATTGAAGTAATCCCAAGTAGCAAACTGGTATTATTAAATATATGATATCATTTGACGTCAAAATGATATATGCTTGCTATCTGGGATATTATTATATTAAAATTTATATGTATCAAGTAAATAGATATTTACTCGTGACTCTATTCAAATAAATTTTTGAATTTTAAAATATATTTTTCTTGTGTGTGTGCAGTGTTGAAATTTCAAACTAAAAAGTGCCAAAACAATTGAATATAACTTTCTCATCAGCTGTCAAATCACCCAGATAACTAGTAGTGTGAACACAAATTGCTTTCATGTTGCTAACAAAGATTTTACTATGCATCTATGTCATCTATTGTGCTATTGTTTGCTAACATTTAATGTCGGAAATGAAACATTTACACGTTTTAAACATTATGCTGGCATTAGAATTAAATAGATGTTGACAATTAATGCTGACATAATGATAGCAACATATTTATATCTGTTAGCAAATTAAAAACATTATATGCTAACTTTTTGTTAACAGTATGCTTGTTTGATATGTTTCTTCTTTAGCTGAGCATTTGATTATGACAAAATGTTAACGTCATGCTACTCAAACATTTAATTCATATTCCTAGCAAAGAACCAGCATTGATTGCTAGCATCTTATTTTTATACGTTATTTGGGCATACTTGATTATCTGGGCAATACATTAAATTTGTTTTGATTGAAATTGAAAAATTCATACATAACAAAAACTAACTTGTTCTTTATGTCTGAATACATTAAATGTTGAAATATTCTGCATAATTCGATAATATAATGTTTATGAAAAATTAACATGTTCACATAGCAACTTAAAATTATATATTGTATTGCTTTTTTTTGTAATGTATATTTTTCATTTGTATACTTTCAGGTGGTCCACATCAATCAGAAGCTCATAATTATTGATTTATATAAAAAATTGAAGAAAGACAATCCAACAATGTTCAAGAAAGATGCTATTATTCAATAGTCAAAACAAACGGGTATTTGTATTAACAGTATAAAAAATACATTAATGGAGAATATGAAACCAGAGGTTTTATCTCCAAAATTAACGAAACGTCGCCTAATTATTAAAGATAAAATTAACGAATGTGACAAGAATGCTATACGGAGAAAAGTTCACGAATTTTATTTTAATAATGAATTACCAACATTGAATAAAATTTTACAAGCCGTAAACGCTGACGAAAGTCTTCCCAATTTTAAACGATCGACCTTTCACGCATTGTTAAAGGAACTAAATTTTATACATACTGTCCAATATCGCAACCTGATAGAAAAGATGATATAATTATTTGGAGGAGAAATTACTTGAGGACTATTATTAAGAGATACCGAGAATAGGGTCGGCAAATTTATTACGTGGCTGAGACTTTGATTAACCTCAATGACATCACGAATAGAGATTGGATGGATAAAACAGTTGAATCTAATAATGGAAGCGCATTTCTCCGAGGGTTGACTACAGAATCAGCTAATCCAAGCAAAAAAGGCAAACGATTAATTGCTGCTCTGCATATTGGCAGTGCTGTTGGTTTTGTTCCTGGCGGGCTTCTATATTTCGAAACGAGGAAATATATCGGGGATCATCACAATGAGATGGACAGCGACACATTTCTCAAATGGTTCAAAAATATTTTACCATCACTAGACGACAATGCTGTTATTGTTATGAACAACGCTTCGTGTCATTCCGTGAAATTGGAACAACTGCCAAATGCTTCGTGGAAAAAATGCGAAATAATAAAATGGTTAGAAGATAAAGGAAAAGAAATATCAGAAGACATGGTAAAGGCCGAACTTTTGCAAATTGTTGCGTTACAAAAAAACAGGTTTGATAAATATGTCATAGATGAAATGGCAAAACAGGACAATAAAACAGTTCTCAGATTACCTCCATATTATTGTGAACTTAATCCAATTGAAATGGTGTGGTCAATGGTTAAGGAATACGTGAAGAATAATAATAAAACCTTTTTAAAAGATGTAAAATTATTACTTGAACAAGGTATTAATCAAATGACAACTGAATATTGGAGTAATTTTATTAGACAAGTTAGAAATGAAAAAAAAAGATGTGGGAGATCGACTATTTAGCTGATAAAATAATTGATAAGATACCTGCATTAATAATTAATGTTGACGAAATAGGTTTAGAAACCTCGGATAGTGATTAATTATTCTGCATATTAATCTCGTATGTAATATATGTATAATTACCGCATTCCATGACTTCTATGTGATATTATTATAAGTTTATATTATCTTCGTATATTATTATTATTACTATTTCATATTATGCTGCCTTATCTTAGAAAGATAAGATCTAATCTTTCTTGTAGATCAAGATCATCAAAAATAAATACCTATATATAAAATTTAATTTAAAAATTTTAATTATATAATATTTCCATTATTTTCACATACTGTTGAATAAGGATTTTACTTTTTTCCTATTCTTTTTTTCTGTTTTCCTTTAAATTTTATAGAGTTCGATAAGATATACGATATGCATCAAAAATATATGTAATATATGTAATATATGTAATATTTTAAAAGACGCAAGCAAATACATAATGCAATATGTGATACAATCTAATTAATATAACTATTAATGATTATTTTAGTTTTAATTAGCTTATAGAAATATTTACATAGAAACTTGCAAAAGTTTTTTGTAAGTTAGTAAAAGATTTTTCTATTTGAAAGTTGTATGTTTTTTAATCTTAAAACTTATTCTTAATATTTAAAAAATAAAGAAAATATTTACCTCGAGACATCTTTTCCGTAATATATCATTGCAAGTATGTACGATATGTAATTATTATTATTTGAAGTTAATAATAATAATGATAATAATAAAACTGTAAATATGTAAAACTAATTGATATATGTAAATGTTACAAATGCGAATAATGTTAAATTTTGAATATGCAATATAAAGAAATGATTAGTAACAAAGTTATAATGATTTGATAGAAAACATACAAAATCGTATTTATATTTATCTGAAATGAAATTCAGTAAAAGAGAATCCCGCACTAATTTAATAGAAAATGGCTTTTTGTCGAATTAACTGAATTTTTAATATATGTTGTATAGTTTAAGGCATTCTGATTAAAAGATGTAATCGCCTCGAAGCTAAATAATGGACAGTTACTGCGAGTTACATCAGTCAAACATCTCGCAGGGAAAGTTTTTTATGTTTGACTGGCTGAAAATCAGTATTCTCCTTTTTTTTTCAGTACTATTATTTACCCAAGTAGAAAACTGACATTATTTTGACGTTTAATGACGTCATTCCACGTCACAATGACGTATGCTTGCTACCTGGGTAGCTTTAACCCTATTAAATTTATTATTTGGCAGCTCATAAACTACAACATATGAGAAAATCAGCTAATTTTACTAAAATTTAATTTTATTTATGATCTTATTAGATTCAAAAATCCCGCACTAATTCTATATATAAAATTGAATCTTGGTAAAATCAGTTAGTTAGTCTCATATGTTTGTAGCTCATGATCTGTCGAACAAAAAATGTAATAGGCTCAAAGCTAAATAATAGATGGTTTCTAATTAAAGCCAGGTCAATCACGAAAAACTCTTGCTATATGTGAGATGGTTGTAACTCGCAGTAACTATCCATTATTTTTGAGGCTATTACATCTTTTGATTAGAATGCCTTAAACTATAACATGTCAAAAATTCAGCTATATATATATATATATATATATATATATATATATATATATTATATTTTTTAATTTGATGAAAATCCATTTTCCATTGAATTAATGCAGGGTAATCCTTTTTAGATTATTGTGTATGTGTGTGTGTGTGTGTGCTTGCGCGCGCGCGCGCACGTGCGCATACTTTTTAATATAAAAAATATTACAAATAAAAAATATATTACAAAAATTGATGATTGTAATAAAACATGCATAAAAAGTTAAAATTATATTTTGCATATTACATGTAAAACTTTATTTCAATAACATATATAATATACTACAATACAATTCACATTAATCAATTATATAATAAAAATGTATTATTAGTGATAAATTATAACATTATGTTTTTTTTATGAAAAGATTTTAAATATAAAAAATTTTATAATTTCATAATATTATAGATAATATTTCGAATTCCGTCGTATTCTTATCACCTTTTGCAATATATTTATTAGCAATTTATATATTAAGCAGCACTTTTCTTTTTCATATCTTCTACACTCTTCTTAACAATATTTTCCCATTGGACGGGTTGATTTTTTGTATACCGCAGTGGACTATTATGTCTATTATTTTCTTTTGCTTTTCATTACATTTTTTACATTGTGTTTGAAGAGCTTCGCTATAAATATCTGAAATCGAAACAGAAAAATATGTGAGAGAAAAAAAGCAATTTAATTTTAATTTATAGAGTAAATATTAAATAATATAAATTTTATAAATAATTTTCTTGTTTCTGTTTAATATAATTATATAATTGCTGACTATATAGTTAAAAAACACTAATATATTTTTTGATATTATATTCGTCAAGGAAAATAATTGTTTCCATAAATTAACCAAATAATCTATTTGTAAAAAAATATAATAGTTTATGTGTGTATATATATATATATATATATATATATATATAAAATTAATGCTACATAAATTTAGTATTTATAAGCAGATTTGTTAATAGTAGAGCTTATTAAATTCTATCTATATAGCTATATAAGCGCGAATTAAATTGGTTTTATAGAATAGAATATATTATACACACATTCATAAATAAGAAGGAATGATTTTATTATATAAGTATAAAGAAATGTTATATGCAGATATAATATAATTAATACAATATATTTATAAAATAATGTAATATAATTAACACAATACAATAATAAAAATTGTTTTTTCCATATAGGCGTTGGATTTATTTAAGCTGTTTTACATAAAAAGTTTAGGATTTTTCAAATGCTGAATTGCAAGAAAATAACATATCTACAGCATTGTAATTTTAATTTAAAGATATTTTGTCTTGGCATATATTAGAATTCCAGCGTCCAGAATTCCAGTTCTAACAAAATTTGATTCCGCATCAAATTTATAGTAAGATTCTGCGGCAAGTTTTTGAAATAGCTAACATCTAAATATTCTAGTGGATTTATCGCCAGATTCACCTCCATCAATGACAATAACACTCTTGTGAGAGATAAAGACTCTAAAGAAATAAACTTATTATCGTTCAAATCCAAATATTTTAAAGACATGAAAGACTCGCTCCATCCGTTTGGTAGAAAACTCAATTTGTTCTTCAAAAGATCGAATACTTCTAAAAACGAAAGTTGAGAAAACGCTTTAACATTAATCTCGACGATCTGATTCCCCGCCAATAATAATTTCACTCATTTTGGCATTTGCGCAAAAGCATTCGCAGTTAAACTCTTGATATTGTTACAATTAAAAGACAAAACGCTGATTTCACTTGAAATGTGCGGTACATCCTCGAACTTGTTGAAACTCAAATCGAGCCATCTCAAAGACTGCATTTTTTCAAATATATCTGGATGTAAGTAATTTATATTATTAATAGACAATTTCAAATAGACAAATTTATCAGTGTACTTGAAAGCGTTTGATAAAATAAAATCAATTTTGTTTCCAGAAATAGAAAGATAATGCAGATTTTCTAGGCCAGCCATCGCTAGGCCATAATCATGCAGATTATATTCATATGATGAACGTTGATTAAATCCGTAAAGTCGATTATATTGATTATCCAGATTATACGAATTAATGTGTGACGACCCGATTAATCGTCACTAGGCGCCGCGCACGCGCAGGACCGACCAACCGCCCGCGCTCATACAAACGGCTCCTTTCCACCACCACCACCATATAATAAACGCGATGGAAATTCGCCTTTTCTAGCTTGGAGGGGATTGACTGACGGATATAAAGGCGGCCCAGTCGAGGATTCTCACCCCAGTCCCGTTTCGATTTCTCGAGCGTTCTCAGAGATCACTCCTCGAATCCTAAGCTCCTAACTATCCCGGCCGACGAGCGTTCTCGTCGCATAGGCCGAGTGTTCTCGGTCACCGGGTCCTGTCCGTAAACTATCCCGGCCGACGAGCGTTCTCGTCGCGTAGGCCGAGTGTTCTCGGTCACCGGGTCCTGTCCGTAAACTATCCCGGCCGACGAGCGTTCTCGTCGCGTAGGCCGAGTGTTCTCGGTCACCGGGTCCTGTCCGTATACTATCCCGGCCGACGAGCGTTCTCGTCGCGTAGGCCGAGCGTTTTCGGTCACCGAGTCCTGTCCGTATACTATCCCGGCCGACGAGCGTTCTCGTCGCGTAGGCCGAGTGTTCTCGGTCACCGGGTCCTGTCCGTAAACTATCCCGGCCGACGAGCGTGCTCGTCGCGTAGGCCGAGTGTTCTCGGTCACCGGGTCCTGTCCGTAAGCCGTCCCGGCCGACGAGAGTTCTCGTCGCGTGAGCCGAGTGTTCTCGGTCACCGGGTCCTGTCCGTAAACTATCCCGGCCGACGAGCGTTCTCGTCGCGTAGGCCGAGTGTTCTCGGTCACCGAGTCCTGTCCGTATACTATCCCGGCCGACGAGCGTTCTCGTCGCGTAGGCCGAGCGTTTTCGATCACCGGGTCCTGTCCGTATACTATCCCGGCCGACGAGCGTTCTCGTCGCGTAGGCCGAGTGTTCTCGGTCACCGGGTTCTGTCCGTAAACTATCCCGGCCGACGAGCGTGCTCGTCGCGTAGGCCGAGTGTTCTCGGTCACCGGGTCCTGTCCGTAAGCCGTCCCGGCCGACGAGAGTTCTCGTCGCGTGAGCCGAGTGTTCTCGGTCACCGGGTCCTGTCCGTAAATCACCCGCGCTCTACGGAGCTCGCCCTTTTCAGGGCGCCCGTATCCGCGTCCGCGTTGGATATATTTCGTCCGTCGTACCTCTCCTTGTAATTTCTAGTTATAAGTCGGGCTCGCGTCCGAATAATCTGGTCGCGTTTTGTCTTAATATTCTCTGTACCTGTGGACTAAATAGCAAGTCAACCATTGAAAGGTGGCTTGAATAAACTCTGTTTTTATCAGAAC